AATCTTCCAAAGAAGCTGCAAATGTGAGAGATCCCGATTAGCAAGGTCCATGAAAACTTCAGTAGACTTAGGGTGTGTCTACACTGGTTTTTTAGGTGAGCACCCACACAACACTTGCAACCGAACCTGGAGAAAGCCATTGAATGTGGCTGCTTCTCGGGTTAAAAATACTTGGGGAAGTCCAAGTCCTGCAGAAGATTTGAGCTTTCCCTTGTGTTTGGCAGTACAGACATCCACCCTCAATTCCTATGCGGAACTGAGGAGTGAGTGTCTTGACAGCCATCCCAGAAAGGCAGAGGGCCATCCTGAATGCAATAATTATTTCTTAAATGCAATAAGGACAATTTACTCCAACCAAAAAGCAAGTTTCATAATAAATGGACAATAGACGGGGAACATAACAATTCAAAAAGTTACAAGACATTGGTGTCCTTTATCCCCCTAACTGTTTATTATGATGCTAGAAATATTATTGGAGGAGGTAAAGAAAGATGAGGAGCTGAAAGGCACCAAAACTCCAAACGAAGAGTTCAAACTCAAAGCCTTTGCAGACGATCTTGTCTGTATAATAGAAAACCCTTTGGAAACAATACGAAAATGGATCAGTAAGATTGAGTCCTTCGGGAAGATTTCAGGACTAAAAATTAATAAATCCAAGACTAAAATCTTAACCAAAAATATGACAAAAACTAGAAGAGACTCTCTTCAGGAAATTTCAGGATTGGAGGTAACCAATAAAATAAAGTACATAGGAATACAAATAACCGCTAGCAACTCACAATTGCTAAAAATAATAATTATGACATCACATGGAAGAACATACGGAAAAAACTAGAGGACTAGAAATACATTAATTTGTCGCTAGTGGGGAGGATAGCAGTTCTAAAAATGAGTGTCCTGCCAAGAATGCTCTTTTTATTTCAGATGATCCCAATTTTAAGGACCAATTTACGTTTCAACTTATGGGGAAAAGACATTCTGAAATTTATATGGGGAGGGAAAAAAGCAAGGATTAAATACCAGATATTAACAGAAAGAAAGAGGCAGATTAACACTTCCGAATTTCCAAATATATTTCGAAGCATGTGCTTAGACATGGGTAAGGGATTGGGCCACACTGACAAAAAGGAAGATGCTGAATTTAGAGGGCTATGATATTAGGCACGGCTGGCATTCATATCTTTGGTATGAAAAAGCAAAAATCAAAAAGAACTTTACCAATCACTATATTAGAGACGCCCTAATTAAAGTGTGGGAAAAGCACAAGAGAAGATTTGATGACAAAACTCCTCTCTGGCTCTCTCTATCAGAAGCAGTCCACAAAAGAGAGATACAAAGAGATAAATGCTATACATATAAACAATTGCTGGAAAAACATGAAATCACTAAATGAAATAAAAGGGACAAAACTATAACATGGTGTCACTATTTCCGAATAATGGACAGCTTTAAGATGGACAATAAAAATGGTTTTGCAATACCTGAGACGACATGGGACTTAGTAATGAAAAGGAATAAAAATAGTAATAAAGATACAATATTGGAAACTTCTGGAATGGGATATTGAAACAGAGCTTATAAAAGACAACATGATCAAATGGGCAATATATATTGCTCATTCAATCTTACTAAAAGACTGGGAGGAAATATGGGGGGGGGGGGAGTTAAAATACTCAAGATTTACCAGCATAATGGAGAACTGGTACAAGATGTTTTTCCTCTGGCATTTAACACCCAAACAACTAGCTAAATACTATAGGAATTTGAATAATATCTGTTGGAAATGCAGAGAACATATAGGATCATATTTTCATGTCTGGTGGTCCTGCAAAGTGGTAAAGAAATTATGGGAAGAAACACATGCCCATATACAAAAATCCTAAAAACAAAGATGGATCTAAAGCCAGAAGATTACTTAGTAAATCTAGTGGACTTTGATTTAGGGAAAAATACTGATAAACTGTTATTCTATCTGATACCGGCTGCTAGAACTATATTAGCACGTAGATGGAAGGACAAAGAACGGGCGACTTCAGAGGCATGGTTCATAAAAATAAGGGAATATATATGGACATGGACTCTTTACTGCTCTTGACCCAAGATCAAAATAAAGGGAGCAAAACGGATTGGCTCCCAATAAGAAGAGACCTCAAGGAAAAGAAAAAAATACAGGTGGACTAAAGAAAACTTTGATCAAAGGAAAACGGCATAACAGAGGAAATGAGAAGGAATTGCGTAGTTAATCTCTGTGGATTGAACCGGAAGTCGTTTATTAACRCCCACCCCCTTCAAACGCCCCACTCCCCTCCCATTTCTTTTTTTTTAACTCCTAACCTAACCCTAATCCCAACCTTATTMWAAACAATCCCCACAATAAAAATTATTTTTAAAATAATTTAAAAACCCTGGTTTTACTGACCCTGAAATGAGCAACAAGAGCAGTTGTCCCACTCACGAGGTGACTGGAAACAACTGCCGGGGTTCTAGTCGGTTGAGGGAACATAGAACTTGGAACCCAGTGATGTCACCCATGAATATTCTAGTCATGGTTGGTACAGACACATAAGGGTTGAATATCCATTAAATGCAAAGCTTGGGACCCGAAGTGTTTTGGATTTCAGATTTTTTAAATTTTGGAATGACTGCATCTCCATGATGATATATCTTGGAGGTGGGACCCAAGTCTAAAGATGAAATTCCTTTAGGTTTCTCGTGCATCTTATATACACTTGAAGGAAATTTTATACACAGTATCTTTCATAATTTTGAGTGTGAAACTGAGTTTCTGTACATGGAATCATTAGCAAAGGTATCAGCCTATTTGGGAGATTTTGGATTTTGGGAGTATTTGGAATTTGCGGATTCTGGAAAAGGGATGCTCCACCTGTACTTATTGTACTTATTGTTATTGTTGTGATTATTATTTCTTCGTGGTGCTTCCTCCGGAACAGGGCTTGGAAGTCATCAAATGGGAGAACACACACATCCTCTAAGAAGGAAGCTCCTCTTCACAAAGTGTTTTCACGATCTTCTTCAACATGCGCAAACAGCAAAAAAGATGTGGTTCCTGGTTCCATGATCTCCTCAGTCCCTTGACAGACACATCCCGCAGGCTGCCTTATTCAATTACAGGTTGAATATCCCTTATATGCAAAGTTTGGGGCCAGAAGTGTTTTGGATTTCAAATTTTATATTCCACCCGGAACGACTYCCTATACAGACATCCTCCAACTAACAAACAGGAGAAGTTCCACAGATATATAAACCCATTTTCCTACTTCCAACTGACCTCACTACCTCTGAGGATGCTTGCCATAGATGTAGGCAAAACGTCAGGAGAAAATGCCTCTAGAACATGGCCATATAGCCCAAAAAAACCTACAAGAACCCAGTGATTCCGGCCATGAAAGCCTTCGACAATACAGGAGACGTTCTGTAAGTTTGTTCTTAAGTTGAATTTGTTTGGAGGTCAGAAAACGTAAATTTGAAGTGTAACTTCAGTCAGATAATTGTTTCAGCTTTGGATAGCGTAGGGTTCACACCCCTGTGGTGTTTGTTTTGTTGTCTGTGACCCTGCCCAGAAGATTTCCCCTCACTTTCTGTGCCTTGAGTTTGGAAAATTTTGGCTTGTTTTGGAAACAAGGATTGGAGATAAACTTTAGTAGAGACACTTTTCTCCCATGATAACAACTGTGAAGTGTATTCCCCTTCCGAGGGGTAGATTTCTCTCTCTTCCTGTTGTCTCACCCCCATTCTTAACTATGATTCCTTTGTAAGTTGGATGTTTGTAACTCTGGGACTGCTTGTACATGATGAGGTATCTTGGAGGTGGAACCCAAGTCTAAACACAAAATTCATTTAGGCTTCATATATACCTTAAATAAACTTATAGGTAATTTTGTACCTATCTTTAATAATTTTGAATGTGGAACTTCGGGAACTACTCCTCGGTCCTCTCTGAGACTGAGCTTTCTGTACCATCAGAGTGCCCGGAACTTCCCTGGCATGTCTTTGTGTGTTCACAATGAGGGCTAAGCGATGTGCGGTAGGCCAGTGGTTCTCAACCTGTGGGTCCCCAGATGTTTTGGCCTTCAACTCCCAGAAATCCTAACAGATGGTAAACTGGCTGGGATTTCTGAAAGTTGTAGGCCAGAACACCTGGGGACCCACAGGTTGAGAAACACTGCAGTAGGCTTTCTTCTCTCTTTGACAGCCAAAGCACTCCTTTCAGTGACTGGAGCCGTAACAGAGGGAGAGAAATTGAAAGGGAAAAACTGAAGTTTTCAGCGAAATGGGAGAAGGAAGAAATGAAAAAGAGGAAATGGAAAAAGGGAATACGAAGCTATGGAAAATGAGGAGCAAAGGAAAGAACTCTTGTCTGGGCACAAGCAGGAAAAAACCGGGGGCTAAGATGGCCAAGCAAAGGGGAGTTCGGTTTCTTTTTTATTTATTCCAGTTTCTGAAAAATTTCAGCTTGTGTCAGTACAATGATGGGAGAAACCCAGGATGAGTGGATTCGTCCTCTAATCAACTCAGGGAATCCTACTTTCACATGTACTTTTACAATGGGTTTTTGTATGTTGCTTGCACCGCTGTTTTGCTAAGTGCTCATTTCATTTGGCTGTAACCTCCTCTACTGCAGTTACTGGCAGGCAAGTACAGAAAGAAACCCAGCAAGGAAAAAAGTTCAACAGGAAAACGGAAATAGAAAAAGTGAAAATTGGAGAAAGGGACAGAATGTGTATTTTCTAAAATTAAAATTAAGCATGTAAATATAAACTGTCCCACAAAAGCTGAAATAGAATCAAAGCTTAAGGAAGAAATAAGACCAGAAACTCTCTCTCTCTCTGTCTATCTATCTATCTGTGTACACACACACACACACTCGCGCACACAGAAGAAGCCAAACCCAAAATGTGTCTTTGGGTAAAGCAGGAAGCATCCTGTTGGTGTACGCTTTGCAACAGAGAATTACATTCAATCTTTCTCAACACCCAGTATTAAAGTTTTAATTCTTTTTTTATTTAAATACAAAAGAGTATGTCTCAATGACACTTTGGAATATTACACTGCACAAGAACAAATATGTAAGAAAACAGCCTTTAAACATGTAACTAATAACACGGATATCTTCTGGGGATCGGTTCCAAAACCCACACGAATATCAAAAATTATGAATGCTTGACCTGGAAGCCAGCTAGCGAACCCACTGTACATCTCAAGACCTGTATTTGTAACTTCAGAGAGACTGGGCTAATCACTATTTTGAAACTATTGTATTTTTACATCAGAACGAGGTAGATCTAATTTAGTTTTTAATCCTATGAACGCTCACTTAAGACACAAGTCCCAATAAAGTTAGTAGGACTGAACTGCTACATAAAACTATGGGATTGAACTGGCCTAGTAGCCAGGTATGCCACTCGAACTCACTAACATGCAATTTTGCTTTAAGGTTCTCATGCTCCTTCCTCCTTCCCTCTTCCAAAATATTTAAATCTGTAAAACTCGGTTGGTTATTAATGTGACACATTATAAAAATACAAAAAGCTCAATAAAAACCACACCTTATTGTATTCAAAATATTTGTTAAAGTTTTGAGCTATTCCTTCTCTATTCATCATTGGTGTTTTAAAAATAGCAGATTTCCTGTTTATTGACAGAAACTTTTGCTACCTAACGCTTAAATCTTAAAACGGGTTGTATTTAAAGTCTCTCTGTTCCCAATTAACAAAGTATCTCGAATATCCTGGGTCTCTGGCATTCCTATTTTGGTTGGATCACGTCAGACATTTCTCGCCCCTATTTTTTCCACACAACACGTGTTATAAAATCAATAGCGTATTCTATATACATGGTATGTTGGAAGACATTTGTCCATTCCCATAAGGGGGAAAAAACATCAAGCTGCTCATTGCTAACCGCATGTATTTTCCAATACAGGCAACTCCAGCCAAGTCATTTTTTGAGAGGATTGTGGAAAAAAGCATTATTATCGATGGATAAAATGTTCATTTGTAATGGAACGAACAGGAGCAAGGCATGACACAAACAAGGAAGCCCGAGGAGATCTACACAGATCTAAAGTTGGTCTTGCTTACACAAGTCTTTGCCCCATTTTCGTAGGTACAGAAAAGTCCTGAGATCTCAAACCAGACTGCCCTTCAGGGAGGAGTTCAGCAGCCACAAAAAGCAATTGTGGAGAAACATTTGAAAGCCTTCAGACTTCGTTATCTTTCTGCAAAAACTCAGCCAGGGTCCCCATATCCACAGGAATTAATAAATATTCCACTCCATCAGCACTCTGGAAAGAAGAACACAATATTGTTCACAGGTGTAAGAATAAAGCTTTTGTCAGCAGAATGCCAGTTTACTGATAGGAATAGCATGTTAAACTGTCGGTCTTTGATCATCTCTAAACCTATGCAGAAGGGTCATTCTAGGAAAGTGGTTCTCAACCTGGGGGTCCCCAGGTGTTTTGGACTACAACTCCCAGAAATCCCAGCCAGTTTACCAGCTCTTAGGATTTCTAGGAGTTGAAGGCCAAAACATCTGGGGACCCACAGGTTGAGAACCACTGACCTAATGGCTGTTTTAGATATTTACACAAATCAATTGTGCAGTGTTGACAGTGGACTCTGCAGAAGATGCTTCAAACATCTTTCATAAAAAAGGGGAAATCAGCCTGTTCAGCAAGCCATGCAAATGATGATTTATTATCAGTCAATGTCTGAGTTTTTCAATCTCTATTTTATATACCTATTTATCCGGGGCCACATAAAACAATTCCAGGCGGAAAGGGGTCCTGAGAGAAAAAGCTTAAGAGCTGCGTTCTATGGTACGCAGAGCCAGTGAGAACCTTGTAGAGCTGACCCCAGAATTTTGGAGGGAACCCCTACTGACTCTGTATGATGGATCCCAGAGAATGGATTTAATTCACTTTCCAGTATTTCACAGTGCCAAAAAGCAAGAGAACAAAGAACAGGAAAAGGAAGAGACGCCTACAGAGGAAGGCAGGGTGGAATTTTATTATGGAACAAAATTTGGAAATTTTTCTGTTCCTGGTTTGAAAATGTTATTTCCTGTTTCATTGTGCAGTACTTATTTTGGAAGTGGTTGTTCTACCTTAGAACTTCGTTTTTGTGGCTGCCACAAACTATGTTGAATTGGTTGAGACTCTATCAGATAGTCAATGAAAAACTAGAGCAAAATGTGCTGCAGGGTTTCACGCAAATACAAAGTTTTGGAAGTATAAGAAACTTTTTGTATGTGTTTATGATAGAACCAATTAGGAAATAACATTTACAACCCAGAAACAAAATTTGTGTTACATAGTGTTATGTGAGCACACAGATGACCACTCAAGGAAGCACAGCAAAAGCAAAGCAGCCTATTCTTCATGTCCTCACACCTATGAGTGATTTCCACTCTGACTTAGCAGAAAAACAGCAGCAGTCACTCTCATATCAGCAACGAAATTGATATTCCTATGGAACACACTCCCAAATGAGGTAAGATCTGCTCCTTCCCTCCTGGCTTTTAGGAAAAAATTAAAATCATGGTTTTGGGACCAGGCCTTTGAGCAGTAGAATGCAGCATTTTGGAAAGAGTATGACTGGAACGGCGATTCGACGGATGAGACTGTTTTATTGTTTTAATGATTGTTTTATTGCTTATGGATGTATTGTTTCAATTTGATTTATGTTTAATTGTAATGTATAATTGTAATTGTTTGTACTGGCATTGAATTTTTGCCATGACTTGTGTGTAAACCACTTTGAATCTCCCTCGGGGTGAGAAAAGCAGTATACAAATACTGTAAATAAATAAATGCATATTCAAGAACCAGTCCTGCACAGAAATGCTGATGGCTGCAGAAATGCTGCCACTTTAGAGACACAGATGGATGTGCTCAAGAGGAATGCAGAAGCTGCCATAGACCTTGAGGAGAGGCTGCTAACTATAGGCTCAGGCTTTCTAGTTCTTTACAAGCTACATGTATCAAGAATTCTTGAACACATTCAAGAGTGACACATAGTTATTTTCATATTCAGGAATCAAAATGCATTTACAAGTTAAAGAATCTTAGTTCCACTTTCCAGTCAATTCTCACAGTGTTCCGGTCACTGACCTGTCAGATAAGGAGGGGCTTCTTGTAGGAGTAATGGCAGTTCTGTTGACGTTTACCACCTCATAAACCTTTCAGAAGTAGTGGCATAGTAAAGCAAGCAGTCACGCTAGAATGCTTAACATACACCATCACTTTACTCACCCTCTTGGTCCGAATAAGCTTATGATCCCTGAATTCTGTAAGTTGAGCTCTAAGACTGAGGTCACTGTTTACTAAAAAGGCTTCTCGGCAGTGTTGATACAACTCTTGAAAGGAAAGGCCTAAGATGGGGAACAAAAATAGCACACGTTAAAATAATGTCCAGTGAAGAGGAGAAGCAATTATACTCTCCCTTCTACACTTGCTACCATAGGCTGCTTTTGGTCATTATGAATGCCGAGTGGGGAGATGGCAGCTCTTTGGCCCTTCGCCTGAAAGGAGTATGGAGAGAGGAAAGGGGGTCAGTCCTTCATTTTGGTTCTCTTGGGACAAACTAAGCTCTCCCCTTTTGCCAATATACTCAGAGATGAGAATGGTTCCTTTTGTTATAAGGGAGGAAACTATACTTCAACTTTAATATACAGAGTGATACCTTGACCTAAGAGTTTAATGAATTCAGTGACAAGCTCTTAAGTAATCTCAAAGCGAATTTCCCCACTGAAATGCTATTAATCTGTTCTGGCGGAAACTTCCTGAATATAATTTGTTACGTGTTTTTCAAAAAGACAATGTACTTTATGAATAACCTAGGGTGGTTCTCCACAGGATGACCCTTGACTCATCAACAGGTCATATCAAAATTCAATTCTTTTGCCCCAAAACTTGCCCTCAACGTATTATGCATGAGGTCAACATATATATATCATAATTGCAATGATCAGTGATAGATTTCCTCCTCCCTCTCTCACTGTCTTCTGTTATATTCTCTCTATGTGAATCTTACTAACTCTAGCCAATGGTTTGGCCTTTGACCAGGCTTCCCATTCTGTTTCCAGGAATCCCTTGCATAGGAAAGACCTCAAAACAACAGGTGAGTGTCTACTAGATCACGCTTCACTGATCATTACAGTACAGAGAACCAGTGCCTGGCAAAGAACACAGAACAAGTGAATATTCAACAGGAGATTTGTGAATTCAAAGTGTTTGCACCTATTTCCAATGGAACTTACTTGTACACACTATATATTCACCAACCTCAGGCTGGTTGCTTGTGGAGTACACTTGGGGATTACAAGACCATTTTGTTGTTCCTAGGGCTTTGTAGCAGCCACCATTTTAAAAAAATGTCAAAAAGATCTCCCTCAAAGTGCCCTTTTCCTGTAATAAGTTAAATTCATAGAATCATAGAGTTGGAAAAGAACTTGTGGGCAATCCAGTCCAACCCCCTGCTAATAAGCAGCAAAACTGCATTCAAAGCACCCCCGACAGATAGCCATCCAACCTCTGATTCAAAGACTCCAAAGAAGGAACCTCCATCCCAATCTGGGGCAGAGAGTTCCACTGCTGAACAGCTCTCACAGTTGGGAAGTTCTTCATGTTCAGGCAGAATCTCCTTTCCTGTAGTTTGAAGCCATTGTTCCGCGTCCTAGTCTCCATGGCAGCAGAAAACAAGCCTGCTCCTCCTCCCTATGACTTCCCTTCACATATTTATACATGGCCCTCATCATGTCTCCTCTCAGCCTTCTCGTCTGCAGGCTAAATTCAAGTTTCATCTTGTAGGGGGGAAAGGCTTTTCCTGGCCGTACAAGGGTCCAAGGGCCACAGAAAACTTTTGAGCCTCCTAGAAGAGGACTGACAGGCATTTTGACTGGAGAAAATTTGTTTTGAGAGATGGGGAGTCCTGGGAAAGATAATATAGTCCTCTAAATTCCCATCTCATTTTTAAATATTACGATGAAGTATATCATTAATTCCCAACAAAGAATGTTGTAATTGCAAATGAAACTGCTTTTGCTTCATCTTCAGAAAGAACAAACACTTCATAACAATTGATTGATGGCCTACCTGGCCAAGAAGGGTTATCCTTATTTTCTAGTTGGCACTCTCCCAAAAGCCTGAAAATCCCCCTGAGGAGAAAGAAGGGAAACCACAGGCATTTTGAAAAAACCTGGAAGTGAATTATTTTCAAGAAACAACAACACGTGGGTTCAAAAATTTAAAAAGGTTTGAAACCCATGGATGACCATAAAGAAATCTATGTCCTTTAACCTCTTCCATTTTTTCCAAACAGGAACACCCTCCTTTAGAAACCATTACTTTCAGGTGCTAAATTAAAACATACACATTCAACAAACTTGTATGGGTACGAACAACCTGGTAAACATCACATACATTTAAAAAGTTCTTCTCGGAGAAAACAAAAAGAACAACAATATCATCGGCAAAGAACTATATTACACATGACCAACAGGATTTCCAAACAATCTGCTGTTCTCCAGATTTTTCCAACATCCAGCCAATAGTACGGCCAATAATTAGGAATGCTGGGAGCTTTGGTCCTCCATGTACGGAGAACACCAGAAGCTAGGAAAGGATTGTGTATATTACAGAAAACAACAAGGACCTGTCCCAGTTGTGTTGTGGCAAATTAATTCTGAGGCACCAGGGAAATACCACATTTCAACATCCCATTTTCCTATACCAAATGATCTGTTTTCAGCCATTTTTCAAGTATCTGGATAAGTGAATCCAGGGCACAGTGAGGATTTCAAGATGCCATGCTTCACTGACCATTTCTTACCTTGCATTAGGAGTGAGACTGTGCAAAACATGTGTGAGGGAGCTCAGAGCCAAAGACCCAGACCGCTGAATCAACAAAGAGTTCTCATAGGATGTTTCTTCTATGTAAGGGCTGTAAGTAGTTGTTTCGTACCATAACCAGTTATACATGCTTTGTTTTGCCTGATCCCACACTAGAAGATCCACAAACAAATAAAAGTAAAGAAAGAATAAAACAGGGCTAAGATTCTGGAAGTGTGGTAAAACATTTTTCAGAAATTATTTTGTCAGATACTATTCTAAGGAGGCAAACTTATCCTTCTTCTCTGCAGCGACACACAAAACAATTGCCTACATATATTTACAGAGAATTTCCAATGCTGAAATTCAGTAATGATGACACTTCAGTGTAACTATCTCTACCAGGGGTCCTCAAACTTTTTAAACAGAGGGCCACGTCACAGTCCCTCAAACTGTTGAAGGGCCGGATTATAATTTTTTAAAAAAACATGAATGAATTCCTATACACACTGCCCATATCTTATTTGTAATGCAAAACCTCTTTAAAACAATACAATAAAATAAAGAACAATTTTAACAAATATAAATGTATTAGTATTTCAATAGGAAGTATGAGCCTGCTTTTGGCTGATGAGATAGGATTGTTGTTGTGTGCTTTCATGTTGTTTCAGACTTAGGTTGACCCTGAGTGAGGGCCAGGTAAATGACCTTGGGGGGCCGTATCTGGCCCCCAGGCCTTAGTTTGAGGACCCCTGATCTATACTACTTCAAACTCAACAATGAAGTGCTTTAATATGTTTATTTCATAAATGGATCTTCTGCCTGAATACTTTGTGGGGCTCTTCTGGAATTTATTAGATGCGGCCTGGAATCATTTATACTCTATCCTGGGCTGCAACAGCTTTGGAAATTTATTCATGCCTCTGAAGATTTTTTAAGCTGTTTCCATCTTGATGGCATAACAATTACTCTAATTGTGATATGCTTGTTGTTTAAAGTCAAAGGTAACAGGGAAAAAATAGTGTTAGCACAAACTGTTCTTTTTTTAAAAAAAAAATATCCTTAAACTAGTTTTAAATCCTGGTTTGTTCACCCAAAGAAGCCATGGTTTGTGAGAGATTTTTCACTGCTTGCCTTTCAATGAAAGTTCAAGGATTCCAAATGTGGTCTCACGTCCATGGTATTCTAATAAAATCAATAGTTTGACCTCACTCAGATGGAATACAAAGCCACTGTTAAGCATTACACTGGAATGCAGCCAAATGGTTAGCTGTGAAGAGACACAAGTCTGAAAGATCCAAATACTCACTGAGGGGTGCATTAATATGATCAATGGAGGCGATGAGGTAGACATTGGGAAGGGATGACAACTGCCCAAGGATCTGTTGGCTTTTATCTCCTCGCAGCATCTGGCTGTCCAGGTTATGAATGAGCAGATAAAGCTCCAAGGAAGGATCTGGTGACAAAGAAGTGCCAACAGACAAAGTCAAAAACAAAGTGCCAAGATCCTCAGTTTATTCAAATGATGATAATCTCACTGTGAGGCTCTCCTCCAGAGAACAAACATACATATGCCAAAAAACCAACATTTTTGCTTTTTCTAAAAGCTATTTTTCTGAGAGTATAAAACTCAAGTCGGTGTCTACCAGCATAATTTCCTGCTTTGATTCCTCAAAGTTATGACTTGCACTTGGGATAATTTTTCAAGTAGTTTTGCATGGAAAGCTGCACATCTGGATTGCTATAGGCTCAGCCCCTTGCTCACTACCCCATAGCTTTATATGCTATTTCATTACTCAGGACATGCTTTTGCTCCTGTAGGCCTTATTCTTATTCTGGTGAGGTACATCTTGTGTATATTAGTCTTAGCTACTACCTTAACATAGCTATCATCATCATTACTTAAAGTTATTTTAGCCTATTTCATCAATTCCATACAATAATGAAGATATAGCTATTTCTTTTCTTCATCTTTTGCTTATCAAAATCCTCTTTATTGGTCTGCTTTGGTATTAAGTCCACTGTTACTGTTTAAGGTTTCTAAACTAAGATTTTGGACCAGAAGATGCTGGTTTTGCAGACAGGATTTAAGAGTGTGCTACTGCAGTCTCAGTTAGACAATCCAAAATAATAATCTACCTTCCAGCTGTCAAACCCAGAGATACCTATTTACCACAATACTATTCTATATACAGATAAGTGAGGTCATGACAACTACATGAACCTACTGCTATTTAGCAAAGACATAAAATATATTGTTTTCAGCTGTAATACATAACAGCTTACAGTTATGTAGTATAGATTAAAGCAACCATCCAAATCTCTACACATTTGTTTCAAAACAGATTTGTTTACATATATAGTAACTGTAAATAAAAACAGTTGACCATAATACACACAAGCCAATATATCAAACTCTATTACAGCACGTTTCAGAATTCTTCTGTTCTACTGCATATTACAAATGAACAGCATCTGTGTATTTGAATATGAAGTTGTGCACATCTGTATACGTTTAAACACAAAACATTCAAGTACACCATGTAACAAAATTTTTGTTCCTGGGTTATAAATGTCATTTCCCAATTGGTTCTACCATAAAAGCATGGAAAAGGTTTATTAAACTGCAAACATTTGGTTCTTGCAGGACATCCTGCAGCGCATTTTGCTCTAGTTTTTCAATGAATATCTCAGAGAGTCTCAACCAATTCAACATAGCTTACGGCAGCTACAAAAACACAAGTTTCTGGAATATAACAACTACTTTCAAAATAATACTGCACAATTGAACAACAACAATTTTTATTGATTAGCCAGTTGGCCTTATCAAAAACAGACAGTGCAAACACAACATACAACATACGTCTGGTCCTATTAAAATAGAATACAAATATATAGGAATTTATCAACTTAAAACCAATGTAGATTAGCCATAGATATATGCATCAACTATCCTCATCTCCCCTACACTGCACCCCAATCTGATCTATGAACTCCGATCCCCTTTTAGCAGCTTTAAACAAATAAAGGGCAACTTGTGTTGTCAGAATAGGGTTAAAACCAGCCAACAAAAATGAGGTTTTAGCTGCTGTATTCCAGCTTATTTTATTGCAAATGAAAGGCCATAAATATTTTTTCCTTTCTTTTTCATATAGATTGCAGTTATGTAAAATGTGGTTCAGGTTTTCAACTTCAGGAGCTCCACAGATACAGAGTCTTTCTTCATATGGGATATGATTGAATCTGCCGTGTCTCTCCATGGATTCAATTTGTTCAAATCTTGCCCTGGTAAAAGCGGTTCTTAGTTGTCTTGGCATGTCAGGTTTTGTTATGTAGTGTAATTGGATACAACTAAGTTTTTTAAAAAAATACACAGCAGAATTCAAATTTCTAGGATACAGATTCCTCTTCATTACCTTCTTTAAATCTTGTCATGACCATATCCAGCTGATCCTGGGGGCTACGAAAAGTGCTCTTGCAATCCAGCACCTCCTCTGTGATGGAGTTCAGAATCTAACACAGAAAAGTCACAGATTATCATCTTCTTTTAGATATTTTAAAAATAGAATAGATCTTATAAGAAAACCAAGGCTGGGGTAAAAACAGAACTCCAACTATGAAAACTATATCAACACATTATCACAAGTCCTGCACTCAAAGTTACAAGAAATGAAAATAATTAATATATACAATGCACAGAAGTTCCTTCCAAGTACAAATTCTGTATGATGCGAAACAGTCCTTAAGGTTCTGTATAGCTACTCTCCATCCTATTTAATTATACTTTCCTCCCAAGAGCTTTGGAGGTATGCCTATGTTTCCTGACAAGACATCTCCCCTTCACTAAAATAATAATAGCCACAAATAATAACAGGCCATATAACATGATGCAAACATTACCATAAGAACCAGCTACAAATTCTAGATTCTCCACCTCTAATGCAGAAAAATCATTACTACAACAATGTCACCTGAAACAACTTTCTTATCTTCTTACAATAGTGATTCTCTTGCTTATCTTCTAATATATTAAGTTTTGAATGCAATATGGGCTTTAGTGTAATTATATTTTATTTAAATATTAGTATTTTTCTTTTCTTTTATGTTTATTTCTATTTTCTCTCATAGTTATAAGCTTATTGATGCTATTTTATATTGTTTTCATTTGTGTGTTTTGTTGACTATGGCACTGAATGTTTGGTTGGAGTTGAGGGATGAATGGGCACTTGACATTTGAAAATGCATGACAAACAAGTCTCTTATCCATAGATCATCGTAAGTTGAAGTCAACTAGATGGCAGTTAGCAATAAAATTGCATGACATACGCTAACTGTCTTGGCTATATTACAAGCTTATTACAAGCTTATTACAAATAGCCTGTTATCATCAAGTGGTTTTCTGAATGGCCACTTTTAATAATGCAGTTGTTACCATCAGGATTCCATCTGAATTCATTCTGACCTCAATATCAATACCTTATTCAAAATAATGTGCTTTATATATAATTCAACCTCTAGATTATAATCCAGCATGTGAGAAAATGGGTTATATCCTACAAAAAAATCATGTAGCAAAAAGATCTATTAATCTTATAATGCCATACTCTGTTTCAATATCATTAGTGTAATTTGTAAATAATAGCCAGTATTTTTAATTGTAAGTGAAAATAGCAAATAACCAAGTTAAACTACAAAGAAGTCAATTGATTTAAGCAGGGGAATCGGAAAAGCTATTTAGACTATGCAATCCATACCTCAGCATTCACAAAGTATGAATGAATTCTCATTTTTCGTTTGGCTTACCGATTTAACATTAATGTTAGGGAAGAATCCATTCACAACAATGTGAACACAGTCCTGAAGAGAAATACGAAAATTTTCCAACAGATCTCTCTTTGAGCCTAGTCCATAGAGCAAAATATTGAATCCTAAGCTGTAAGAAAACGAAAAAAATATTGAGGTTTGCATATCACTGTACAATCGAAGCATACAGTTATGATCAGGGGTCCTCAAACTTTTTAAACAGAGGGCCAGGTCATAGTCCATCAAACTGTTGAAGGGCCGGATTATATATATATATATTAAAAAATGAATGAATTCCTATGCACACTGCACATATCTTATTTGTAGTGCAAAAACACCTAAGACAATACAATAATTAAAATGAAGAACAATTTTAACAAATATAAACTTATTAGTATTTCAATGGGAAATGTGGGCCTGCTTTTGGCTGATGAGATAGGATTGTTGTTGTTGTTGTTCTGTGCTTTCAAGTCGTTTCTGACTTAGGTTGATCCTGAGCGAGGGCCGGGTAAATGACTTTGGAGGGCCATGTCCGGCCCCCGGGCCTTAGTTTGAGGACCCCTGGTTATGATGGATGTAAAGGATACGTTTTGACTCTGTGATGTGGCACGACATTCAGTTTATGGCCAATTTGAGGCCCAAAACCAGATAGAAGTGAGTTTCAGTTTCTATTTCGGAAGTTCATTAAGGCACTTTTTTTGAACTTCCCCAAATTTTTGAAAAGTTTGGGGAACCCTCCAGATATAAACCAATTTTATCTTCAATACATTTCAACTGAAAAAAGAAAGCAAGTTTGCTTATGGGCCCTTACAATTTAGAAACTATTTCATACAGTGTGGACTTCTGCTAAACAGAAACACAAACTGTAACTTGAGAAGGTATTTGTATGTTCTAACACATTAACAATCTACAAGGTTGTTCATGAAAAGGTGGTGCCCACTTATGCAAAGCTGATTTCAACAAAATACATTAGCTTTTAATAATATTCTGTCAAGAAAATTAGGAGTTGCAATGACAACAGTTTCTAAGGTCTGTCTATGAAACTATTATTGAATTGTAATGGTTCTGATACAACTACTGTAGTTCTGTAAAAACAAATACTGTTACAGGAACAAATGGGGCACTTACTGCAACTGCAGCATCCATTTATAAAAAAAGGTTTTGTATTGGTTAGTTAACGCTTCACGTTCAGCAGCAAAAGCAACAGGTACTTTATTTAAGATGTTTTGCAGGGATTCCTGGATAAGAGAGGAAAAAACAGCTTTTAGACTGTATGCAAGACTGAAGGAAACTATTTAATATATCCATGAAGTACATAATTACAACGGGTTGCATTCAGTGGTGCTCTTTCTTTTAATTCAGTGGAGGCTTCTGTTACCAAAGGGAGAGGGCTTCCAACACTTACCTTCTACATCTAGTTAAGTTTATGCAGATATGTTAAAGTAAATGTTCTACAAGTCTGAAAATATCAGAAACATTGATATTATAAGAAAACAAAAGCTCTTGCAAAACTCACTTAAATTAAAAAATATAGGCCTTCACATGGTACCACATACATCATAGTAGATGTAAGCATGTCTTCTCAGAAAGTCTTTCCACATTCCAGAACTTAATCCCAAAGTCTGGGAGTGATACCTTTCCAACACTAAGGTTTTAATCAAGATACACCATGTGAAGATTTTTACGAAGATATTTTGCCACATTTTTATATAATGTGGATGTATATATGCATGAGTGTATGTGCCTTCAAGTACAATGCACAATAGTCCTAACAGAACATTATAAAAGCAAAGACTGCAGATATGCTCCTCGTGTAGATCTGTATTTAACGTATCAGCCTAAGTAAGTAAAAAGGCAGCAGATTTCACAAAAGCCACATGTTCCCAAACTGTGAAACTAATATTATAGAAGAAGAGCTATCCTTCCCAATCCCAACACCAACACCCAAATCAGATAACTCTACCTACATTAGTAGCAGTTCCATCACGTTGAGACTGAATTCAATTTCAAAATCATGGGAGGGAAATGAGGGAAATAATAATATATCTGTCAAGCTATGGCCTAAATGGTTGTTAGTCTCAACTGGAAGAGGTTCATGAAGTCAATGGAATTTCTAAATGTGTTGATTTATAGGCTGCCATTGAGCCAATTGATCTTCTATAGCTGGGACTAACAACTGGATTTAGCCTTTATGACTAAGTAAAGTAATAATATCTTACACTTAATCTATCTTTCTCAATTCAAATTATACAGAATGCTGGAAAACATGAAACAATAACATTAGTATCAATTTTACTCCTGATCATATTTTATGAAACAAGATCCTTGATGGTTTTTTTTAATGTTAGCATTTGCAAACTCAAGTTGTGACATAATATCACTATAGTACAAAGATGTATTAACTATCAAACCTGACCAAGGCAAGAAAATCTTAGTAAAAACTACGAACAGGATCTATGAGAAAAGCATCAAAAATAAACTCTAATACACACACAGTGTCTCCTGGCACATACTGCACCTGATCCAGTTTTTTCTTCTCAATCTTTTGGAGTGTTCGGTCAGAGGTTAAAACTTTAGAACTACTGTGTGCTTCAAAATACTCTTCGACCAAATCGCTCTGATAAAAGAAAACATACACAAGAACAATCATGTATTCTCTGACAATATAATGAAATAATGGGCAAATTGGCGACTTCATTTCATTAATGTAGGATAGTGACTGAGTGCAAAGCTGATTTGGCAATGGCATAATAAAGAATAATAGGAAGACAAGAAAACATATGAGAAGAAATCACTTTACGAGTGTAAATAACTTGTAAGCCGCTTTGAGTGAGAAGGGTGGCATATAAATGTCGTAAGTAAATAAGTAAATAAATCATGAATGTCTTTAGAACAAATACTTTTGCCTCTCTGATGTCAAAAAGTACACTTGCCTTCATGCTGCTTTTGAACGAAAACTTACATTTTGGTTGAAAAGGGTAATTGTGCCCCTCCATCACTTAATTAACGGTGGCTGAATTTCATCAGCTTTAGAAATGCAATTGCAGGGATCCAATTGTATTTGTTAAAAGCGCATATAAGGAAAATATGACAAGTCAGCAACCCTTGTCCTACTGCCATTTTGATGACTTAGTCAAAAATTGACAACTTTTTAAACTTCTTCAAATACACCACAATCAAATATACATCTAATTATGAATAGAAGGCATTGCGGAAAGAGGAACCTGCTTCTGATACATTTTTAAATTACAAATTATTTGTGTAAAAGTTAAAATGGACAAAATAATTTTTGATCAGAAAAGCTGGGTAGACTGATATACAAGTCAATGGAAGTATCTCTTTCTGTCAGGTCTTGAAATGCAACACTTTTCTTGATCAGGCATTCCAGAAGGCCAGAAGTAGGGCCATGGAAGAGAGGAGAACATAGGCTAACCCTTCTTTTAGGTTCCCAAGTTATTATAGAGTTTAAACTGTACTGAAATGCTTTCAATGTTAGCTGCTTTGAGTCTCCTTGTAGAGAGAAAAAGTGAGGTATAAACGAACATAATAAGGATAATAATTATTATTATAATCCATGGGTCATCTTTTGGGCCCAAAACCTGTCTTCAACTTATACACAAGGTTGATTTATACCAATGGTTCTCAACCTGTGGGTTCCCAGGTGTTTTGGCCTATAACTCCCAGAAATCCCAGCCAGTTTACCAGCTGTTAGGATTTCTGGGAGTTGAAGGCCAAAACATCTGGGGACCCACAGGTTGAGAACCACTGATTTATACACAAATAATAATAACAACAACAACTTTATTTATATCCCACCACCATCTTCCAAAAGGGATTTGGGGCATCTTACAAAGCGCATGGTAGTGCAGTGGAATATACAAACACAGTAAAACACATAACAATTGTAAAAAAAATAACGCCAATAACATAAAACAGATGTACTTAAAAACAGCATAAAAACTCCTATACATTAAAATACTCAATAAAATGCAGTGATGACTGCAGATAAAATAGTCATATCAATTTCAGTCATGTTAAGTGCCTGAGCCAAACAAGTGCTTGGTCCTCAGGTACAAACTAGTGTTAACCCTATTTGAAGGTCTGCTTAGAAAGCCATTTAAAGTACCCTTGTTAAATTGATAACCCTAAAAGAGAAGGAGCAAAAAAACTAGGTATTACTTTTAGAGGTTTTTACTTCCAGGAAAATGTAAAATAATTTGAGTTAGGCCATCCTTGTCACATTAGCTTTTACAACATCTAAACTTATTTCCATATGTAACAATGCAAAGGCTTCAAGAGAAACTCACTATATTCTACCTAACAAATGGCTTACAGTGTCATACAGAACAGATATGGTCTCCGTTTCAAAAGGAGTTGCTTTTGCTGCTAATAGAGAAAGAATTTTTACTTGCTTTTTACTGCTTTTGACCCCGGTCCCAAAAAGGAGTGGGGTCAAAAGCACGGACCCTCCTTAAATACCAACTGAAACAAACATCTAAAACAAGATGGAGGCCTGGGCTGTTTTTTTTAAGATGATGTTTAATTCGTTACTAGATAAGCAGACAGTGAACTTTGAAAGCTAACGCCATGTCTTTTGCATTTTTTGGCTAACCTAATAAAGGTACCATCTTGATGTATAGACTGTATTGCACTTTGCTGCATAAGTAACATAACTATCGTTGAATACTTTTTACATGACATGATTTCTTATACTTTTCTTGTTCATAAACTGAACTGCATCCACACTCACAGGAACATGTGGCTTTGGTTTCTTAGCTGGTGTTTCTTTACTGGGGTGAGCAGATGTGTGAAGAGTTAAATCAGCACTTTTGCTACAACTTTCTCCCTCCTCTTCCTCGGAGCATGAAGCAGAATAATCGCTTTCACTATCAGAGCACATATTCAATCCTGGAAAAAACAAAACGATTGTGAAGAGACAGCCAAGACTATCAGTTGCTCATGTGGTTTTCATAGAATATATTGTTATTCACTGTGCACAACAGGATGCTGGATTGACAGCCCTTCAATGCAATCCCCAGTTCTTATGTTCTTTCTAAAAAATCATCCTGTTTAAGATACTGCATATACTGTATCCTAAACAATACAGATTACACACATATATAGTTTAGCTAAACAGATTCTCTGTTCTAACGTACTGTAATTGGAAGGATAGAGTTGCAGGCAAAATGTTACTATCTATTGAAGAATAGTATTTGCCCTTAGTATAAAACAAAATGACAAATAAAAAAATTGTTATAACAATGTAATATCCAAACACGGCAGAAGCAGTTTCAGTGTTAAATTAGAATGTGGACAAACATCAAAGAACTGAATACAACAAACTGAAGGCATTATACTTCGCCTGTGAATGTATACTGTGAAATAAGCTGATACATCCATCTTCTTCCTGGCCAACATTTTCCTGGACAGGCATCAAAACAGACAGTTCTAACACTAACCTAACAAGCTGAGTGGTCCAGTTTGTTAGGTTAATGTGGACACAACACAGTTGCAAATCATATGAACACATCTCATCTGACATCCGCCGGCAAATAGCAACCAATAGTGAAAGGACCAAGGCAACGACATCTCTGGCTCATCATCCTCTGTTTGGATATCAGCCAGTATGCCAACAACTTAAATCAAGAAATAGTTTTCTAAAATCTACAGAGACACTCACTGGAATACCTCAGCAAGCGAGAGTCCAAAAGTGACAGGCTCAAATCCAGAACCTCAATCAATGGCTGATACCAAATGAGAGACTCCCTCCTAGGCACACGGAAAACTGGGTGATTTGGAAGGCGCTGAACAGACTGCGCTCTGGCACCATGAGATGCAGAGCCAACTTTAAGAAATGGGGCTACAAAGTGGAATCCACGACATGCGAGTGCAGAGAAGAGCAAACCACAGACCACTTACTACAATGCAGCCTGAGCCCCGCCACATGCACAATGGAGGACCTTCTTATAGCAACACCAGAGGCATGTGGACGCAACACAACTGTAAATCATACTATATCTATGATGCACATTATCAGTCTGCACAATTGAGTTAGTGATGTGTGAAACCTGACACAATGAAAACACTTTCTGAATGCACCCTTCTGGAAACATTCTAAAGCTGAAGAGACTATATATAAGAATGAATTCTCATATTATTATGTCATCAAACTGCATTAGCTAGAATTTGTTGCAAATGCTTTTACTTACCTGTAATTCTCTTCCTGAGTCTGTAAGGTGTGTTTGATATGCACACCTTCCTTCTACTCTTCTAAAAACAACAAAAATATTAATATTTTCAAAAAATACCTTCTGTTTAAACAGTCAAATTTCTAACCATATAGTGTTTGAACACAAAAACTGAATTCATCTGGCAAAATCTAGTTGTGGGATCTCACAATGCTTGAATCTACAAAACAAGCAAAGGCAATTAGGAATCCAATTTGTATTTCATTTGAAATACGGTATTTATTTCTGGTAATGTGTACATCAGCTCACACTAGATCCTAAGATATTCAGCTTTCCTACACCATTTCAGATTGTTATCTTAAGATGAAACTTATATTTAAACAGAGGCATATGTTCATTTACTAAAGACTAGGAGAAATTGGAAATCTGTAAATGACATACACTGATGTGGCCTCCTGTTGCATCAGTGTTTGTGCTTCTGTGGCTACCATGGAAGAAAGATCCAGAGCAACTGCTCTTCCTCTTTCCCAAGAGTAAACCTGCACCAGTTATCGAAGTTGCTTACATCGCTACATCACACAAAGAACACACACGTAAAATAACAAAGACATAGCCGCCATACAATTAATAAGACCTAATATCTATTTTAATGTTTGTGTGTTTTAAATTATATATTTATTGCTTTTATTGTTAGCCACTTTGAGCGTCTTTTAAGAGAGATAAAGAGGGGTCGATAATGATAATAATGATAATAACAACAACAAAAGCAGAAAATGATAAGGTTATTTATTTTTATTCAGACAATTTAAAAATAGGAAGAAAGAAAATTTGCCATATATGACCAGAAAAGGGGTCACAGAATTCAATATCAGCAACCAAAGCAGCCCTGTCCTGGGGACCCACCAATCAGATAGCAGTTGAAGATCAGCCAACTACTTATTTTGATGTTTAAAGTATTCATATAATAATTTAACAAAGCCACAGAATATAAGAGTAATTAATAAATCAGGAAAGGAAGAGTATACTCTGAATGCAACAATAGTCACCCTTTTTAACATCCAAAAATGTCACTCACCTCTTCCTGGCCTTTGTCTGAAAATTAAACAAAAATTGTGTCACAGATAGTTGACAAATAAAATGTTTCTAGGTGTTCATAAACTAGTATCACATGACCTACTGCATATCTCAAAGGGCACTCCAATTATTTGACCTAATTATGGACATGTGATCAAATCACCATTGTACCTTCTCATGTAATAATTCTGAAGCCATGCGTTAGTTACATCCAGAATGGATTACTATAATGCACTCTACATTGGGCTACCTTTGAAGACAGTTAGGAAACTGCAGTTAGAGCTAAGGCTGGCTGCCAGATTACTAACTGGGGCTAGGTATATGGAACGTACTATGTCTCTACTAAAACTGGCTCCACTGGCTTCCAACAAGTTTCTGAGCTCAATTCAAGGTGCAGGTTATTGCCTACAAAGCCCTATACACTTCGGGTCCAACCTATCTTTGAGGCCACATCTCTTTCTATGAACCAACACGGGCTTTGAGATCAGTAGAGGAGACCCTTCTCTTGGTCTCACCACCATCTCAAGTGGTGGGGACGAGAGAGAGCCTTCTCTGTGGTGGCTCCCCAGCTATGGAATACCCTCCCAAAAGAGATTAGGCTAGCCCCCACCCTTGAATCCTTTCGATCCAGCCTAAAAACATGGATTTTTAAGCAGGCCCACATGAGGTTGACACTCTGGCACTTTAGTTTTGAATTGAAGGCAGCTTGTTTTAACTACAGATGGTCTGTGTTTTTAAAATCGTTTTATCTTATTTTATATGTGCTGAAAACAGGTTATTATAATTTTTATGTGATATTGTTTTTTAGTCATGTACTGTTTATGTTATGCTGCACTTGGAGTGCCTTGTAAGCTGGCCAATTCCCTTTTGTGAGATGGTGGTGGGATATAAATAAAGATGATGATGATTATTATTATACTATTATTCTATATCTAGCTCTTGAAGCTTATGCAATTTAGGCGCTTTTAAAATTATTTGAACATTATTTCATGAGTCAATGCTAATAATGCCATAGTCTTTTATGAATAAACACTTGCTATTCCTCAATAACAAATTGAATAATCTGAACACGTGATCTCAAAGACGAAATACCTGTATATGTTTTTATTTTATACAGGGATCTTGTACAAATATATTCCTCATTTTATTTCAAGAAAGAAAATGACAGCCCAGTGGAAAACAGCAAATCTATAAAGCCAGATTGTAACTTCCTCAGAATGACCGGCAAGTAATCATTCAAAAATTATTCAACAATAGATTTTTGAAATATTTTTATCAATAAACACAATTGTATGTAAAAGAACACGCAAGGAAAACTATAGCAATTACAGTAGGCTCCAATAACATACTATATACTCAGCCAGAATATACATACTGTATAAAAACTATAAAGGGGAAGACACATGACTCCCAACTTTCCAGGTAATGTTTGTAGATAGATAATTATTAATCCTACAATTCTTCAAATCCTACCACTACTCCTAATTTTCCCCCATAGTCCCTCAAACATCAATTATTAACACTCAATCCTTATTAAAATCACTTAACAACTTATGAGTATCAAAATCAACAATTTATCCATCTTAGCAAGGTCATGTAAAGCATCCTCAACATTGAGGATGCTTTACATGTCCTTGGAAATTATACAGTTGGGTGTGCTCTGTTTAACTGGCCAGCCTATGGAAGGACACAATGTTACTCTTCCAGTTCCCTCTGTTCCATCTGCCCCTTTGTGACACTATCACACATTCCCAAGATGCGAGGAAAAAGATATGGGCACACAAGTGTGATCCTCGGAGACATTTTGTGACATCTGATGATTCTCCAAACCAGCAATTGCCACATCCAGAACCTCTCGCACAGCAAAACCTTTTCAAGATGGAAATCCAATCATTTATTATTATTATTATTATTATTATTATTATTATTATTATTATTTCAGTTGAACTTACTTTTACTTTGTGCTTCATTTTCATGCTTCATTAAATTGTCCTTTGTTAGATTTCTTCCAAGGTTCTGTGCTAGCTCAGAGGCTTTTGAATAAAAAAAGATTAAATATATATTAAAGATTGAGATATCAATGATTAAAGATTATACTAATACAATATAAATAATGGCTGGGCATATGTAACAAATAAGGTCACACTAGAAATAATTTTACAACTGATTGGAACCCTGGTAAAATACTGTAGTAATATTGTAATAATTACAAAGAAAAGATGATAATAATAATAATAATAATAATAATCTTTATTTGTACCTCGCTACCATCTCCCCAAGGGACTTACATGAGGCCAAGCCCGCAGTACATCAATAAACAAAAGCAATAACAAAATAATCAATACAAAACAGTTAAAATAAATCTCATAAACAAAAAATAAACAATAACAATAACAAAATAATCAATACAAAACAGTTAAAATAAATCTCATAAACAAAAAATAAAAAATAAACAATAACAATAACATACAAGCATTTAAAAACCTATGGCCGGGCGTGATTTCGTTCATTGGTTCTTTTGTTTTTATGTTTTTCATTATGCACAGAGCATTTATATATATATAGATTGAACAAGTACTTTTTTATTTCTTTACCATATTTATACCCTACTCTTCTCACCCTGAAGGGGGCTCAGAGTGGCCTTACAGATTAGGCAACAATTCAATGCCATATAAAATAAACAATACATTTTACGTGTAATGGGCTTGCCTGCCTGCTCTCGGGTTCTCCTATGATGCCATGAATGAGAAGGGGAGTGTTGCCACGCCCCAGGTGGCCAATGAGCACCCCCCCACACACCATCCACTCACAACCAGCCAGGAAAAAGGCCAGGCATACTGCTTGCTGGCTAGCATGGCTGCCCCCAAACCTGAGGCAAGGTAAGTGCTGCCACCGCTGGGGCAGCCAACAATATCCTGACCTCTTGCAGCTTTTTTGTAGCCAATGCGTCTGTTCTGTGGAACTCTTCCTCTCCTGACTTTTCCCCTCCTTATGCTTTTGCTGCAGCCTGGAAACCCTATTATACAGTAATAGCCTCCATTTATATATATGAGTTACTTAAGTCAGATGTTTGTAACACAGGAAATCCCTGTATTTCCTAGAACTCCCTTCCTAGTTAGAGAAAGTAAATATATTTTTGTTTCAGCAGACCTTTGAGAACTAACTAGACATGGGGGAAGGATTTTAATAATGCACTGTATTCTCTATATTAATTTTAGTTATGCTTGGACTTGGTTTTAATTCTTTTTATAGTTTAACTCTGTGTTAACATTCACATATTTAATTATGTTGACTTATATGGTTCAACTTTATATTAGGGAAAAGGTAGGACACATATAAAATAAAATAACAGAATACCTGTCTCTGCCATCTTGTTAGAGCGTTTTGGAGTTTGGAATGTGAAAACATCGCCACCACCTGTATTACAGCCATTTCTCAAAGATCCTAAACAAACACAAAACACAGATACACTTTTTTGGGAGCAGGAAATATTGCAAAAAATGTATGCTGAATAACAAATTATTTTATAAATATCAAGACTGTTTAAACTCTATAGTTAAATTTAGTGGGCAAACCCTCACAATCATGACTGACATAAATATTAGATATTTTTAGCAAGCTTCCAAATGATTATGGCTGTGACAGAGATGAATTTCTCCAAAACAGCTTCTTTCTTCAGTACCTTGGACGACCGTCCCTAGGTTAGACACATAGCCTTGCTCTTTAAAAGGAACAGGATCCTCCTCTTCTGAGCTGTCCTCTGTTTTTTTCACCAATTTTTTAATATCTAGTGTAGGCAGAACTTTGGTTTTCCGAGCTTTAATACCTGTAGATACAAAAAGAAAAGCAGCAAAATAGTGAACGATTATCCCAGTTTCAGTGAAATACATGCTCCTCTCAGTTTATTCACATATACTCACCAAACAGTTGAGCTTTCAAAAGTAAATTAAATAAAAAATTAAATTTTAACTATTACATTTGGCCCAGCCATTGGTTTTTAAATGTTATTGTGTTATTGTCGATGTTTACTGCCTATTTTTTGTTTATGAGCTTTATTTTATTGTTTTGTATTACTGCTTTTGTTGTTTTTTGCTGATGTACTGTGGGCTTGGCCTCATGTAAGCCGCACCGAGTCTCTTGGGGAGATGGTAGCGGGGTATAAATATTTTTATTATTATTATTAATTATTATTATTATTAAATCCCACTTAGGGTAGTTCTACACAGGTACTATAATGAAGTCTGCAGCTGGTTTGAAGATGGGGTACTCTTCTAATGCACACTGCAACATGCATTAAGCTGGAAGCAGTATGCTAAAAAAAATGCCACAAAGTCCGAAATAAGGCAAAAACGTAAGCACTGCATACCCCAGGCACACTGAGAAATGAGCCATTCCACGAGGAGCACTATTATGGATGCGCTAGTGCTGAGGGTCATATCATCATCATCATAGGTGACCATTTGTGGCCAAGTGTGATTGTCTTCCAAGGGTAGAGTCTTGGTGGTGGGTCTGTAGTGACTGTAGAAACCTATTCCGGATTTGCATGGCCTTTCGCAGTGAGGACATAGATTTCCAGATGGAAGCCAATCCTGACAAGTGCCTTCCACTTGCCTTCCACTTGGCACATTTCCCTTTTGCCCTCTGTTCTTTCCCCTTCAAAATCTATAGCACTGTTGGCAACAGCTGACCTCCAGTCAGAATGCTCAAGGGCCAGGGCTTCCCAGTTCTCTGTATTTGTGCCGCAGTTATTAAGGTTATGGAGCCCCCGGTGGCACAGTGGGTTAAAGCACTGAGCTGCTGAGCTTGTTGACCAAAAGGTCGCAGGTTTGATTCCGGAGAGCAGTGTGAGCTTCCGCTGTCAGCCCTAGCTTCTGAGAGAGAGTGCTGAATGAACTAAGTGTTGGATTATGCTTGCAAATGTACTGAGTCCTTTTTTGTGTGAACATCTGCTGGGAGCCAATGGGATCAGCTGGGGGCAGGGGAGATCCATCCCAGTGCCCCTGGATGTCTCTGCTCATGCACACCACCAATTGTCGGCAAATAGATTAAGAAAAAAAAAATCCCCATATTCAAATTCACTTCCTAATTCAATTTAAGTGGTTGTGTAGAATGCCCTCAGTCTCTGTTCCTGTTCAGATTTTCTCTTAAATACAGACTCACCAAAAGTATGAGTTTTAAATAATGCAAACTATAGTGAAATTCTTCAAGAAACATATTAAATTCTGAGCCTGGGTCAAAGCCAACTCAAAGCTTGAGGTGGCAAATACTGTACTGAACACCAGCCACTACCATTCTTAAAACGATGTTTCTTAAAGGCATCTAAGAACATATAAAATTATTAGTTACTTTTTGGAAAATTGCAAATGGCAGAAACTGGTTCCTCATTTTAATAATACTAAAATAAAGCAGCCTTCTATAGGCAAACAATCAATACCTGCATCCTCAGAAATGTGCTTCAGAACATCTTCATCTCCTATAAACTTGACTTCCAAGATCTTCTTCTTTATCTTTGGATTACTCATAGCAAGCTGTACAAAACCAAGAATAAAATAGTGTGTCATTTCTAGCAAAGCACAGAACCTGAAATGCATAGTGTATGAAAAACCGTAGAATGTCTTAGTAATAGTAATGATAACCATTTCTATTTGCTTGACTCTCTTAAGTTGCTGGGCGTGTGTAATTGCTTAGAAGTACGGCAATATTTATATTTGCTATGCATTGCTGTAGAAGTCTGAGATAATAAACGCCTTAGAAAACATACTCACAGAGTTTTATTCATATTTAAGAACATATGTATTTTAGACACCCCCCTCCCTCCGGTGACCGGAACCGAGCACAGCCTCCAAGACGCCGAAGATGTAGATTGTAGATGAACTATAAATCCCAGTAACTACAACTCCCAAATGTCAAGGTCTATTTCACCCAAACTCCATCTGTGTTCATATTTGGGCATATGGAATATTCCTGCCAAGTTTGGTCCAGACCCATCGTTGTTTGAGTCCACAGTGCTCTCTGGATGTCGGTGAACTACAAATCCCAAACTCAAGGTCAATGCCCACCAAACCCTTCTAGTGTTTTCTGTTGGTCATGGGAGTCCTGTGTGCCACGTTCGGTTCAATTCCATCATTGGTGGAGTTCAGAATGCTCTTTGATTGTAGGTGTACTATAAATCCCAACAATTACAACTCCCAAGTGACAAAATCAACTTTTTTAGTGATAGTCACTCCTTGGGCTATTAGGTGTCTTGTGGCCAAATTTGGCAGCAATTCGTCCAGCTGTTTTTGAGTTATGTTAATCCCACAAACGAACATTACATTTTTATTTATTTATTTATTTATATAGACTAGCCATCCCCTGCCACGCGTTGCTGTGGCCCAGTCTGTGTATATGTGCTTTGTGTATGTATATATTTATGTATATGTGTGTTTGTGTATATATATGTGGTTTTGCACATGAGCTGTAATGTATTTTTTGTTTTTTGGCTTTTAAATCTTTTCTGCTGTATTTCAGTGTTTTTATGAGCGATGGCCACTCGTTGGCCTGATATGTGTCTTGTGTCCAAATTTGATGTCAATTCGTCCAGTGGTTTTTGAGTTATGCTAATCCCACAAACAACATTACATTTTATTTATATAGGTGTAATACAATATAATAATAATAAATTATAATTATATATTTTATATTATATGTAATATTACTAATAATGGTATAGTACAATATAGTAATATATAATACTGATATTGTGCTATGCTAATAATATATTGCATGTATGTATATCTTATAAGCTGCTCTGAGTCCCCTTCAGGGTGAGAAAGGCGGCATATAAATGCCATAAATAAATAGATTAAATAAATTTATATAAATAAAAATGTAATGTTCGTTTGTGGGGTTAACAGAACTCAAAAACCACTGGACGAATTGATACCAAATTTGGACACAAGATACCTAACAACCCAATGTATGTCCTTCACTCAAAAAATTGATTTTGTCATCTGGGAGTTGTAGCTACTGGGATTTATAGTTCACCTACAATCAAAGAGCATTCTGAACTCCACCAATGATGGAACTGAACCAAACTTGGCACACAGTTCTCCGATGACCAACAGAAAATACTGGAAGGGTTTGGTGGGCAGTGTTTTTTGGTTTTGGAGTTGTAGTTCACCTACATCCAGAGATCACAGTGGACACAAACAATGATGGATCTGAACCAAACTTGGCATAAATATTCCATATGCCCAAATATGAACACTGGTGCAGTGTGGGGAACATAGAATCTTGACATTTGGGAGTTGTAGTTGCTGGGATTTATAGTTCACCTACAATCAGAGAGCATTCCAAACCTCACCAACGATAGAATTGGGCCAAACCTCCCACACAGAAACCCCATGTGGGCCACAGCAACACGTGGCAGGGGACGGCTAGTAAATAAATAATATTTTTGAGTTCAGGGTCACACTAAACTAAAAGTGGCTGAAATATCTTGAGTCCCCAGTCAGATATTCCTTGTAATGCAAATGTTAAGGGTATTTTTACCTTTTTCTGATTGTCTTTGAAGGATACAAACTCCTCTGCTGCACCAGCTCCACTGGCTGCCGATCTGCTACCGGGCTCAATTCAAAGTGCTGGCGTTGGCCTTTAAAGCCCTAAACGGTTCTGGCCCAACTTATCTATCCGAACGTATCTCAGCCTATCAGCCCACCAGGACCCTAAGATCTTCTGGGGAGTCCCTGCTCTCTATCCCGCCGGCTTCACACGTGCGGCTGGCGGGAACGAGAGACAGGGCCTTTTCTGTGGTGGCCCCTCGGCTTTGGAACACCCTCCCCATAGAGGTACGATCAGCCCCCTCGCTGATGGTGTTTCGGAATAGATTGAAGACATGGATGTTTAAACAAGCATTCGGTTAATCCGTTGCAACGAATTTTGATGACTAAAGGATTGGTAATCATGGACGATGAATTTTGGACTGCGATTCCAGTTATGAGATGCATGGGATTATTATTGGTGGCCCAATAATTTGTATTGTATATGTGTTTTATGCTTTTAAACTGAATACTGTTTTTTAAATGTTGTAAACCACAATGAGTCGCCGACTTAGGCTGAGATATTAGCGGTATACAAGCGTATAAATAAATAAATAAATAAATAAATACAGAGTGCTCTGCAGAACAAGGGCAGTTTGGCGTGGCTCGATGCTATAGAACAGCGTTTCTCAACCTGGGGGTTGGGACCCCTGGAGGGGTCGCGAGGGGGTGTCAGAGGGGTCACCAAAGGCCATCAGAAAACACTATTTTCTGTTAGTCATGGGTTCTCTGTGAGAAGTTTGATCCAATTCTATCATTGGTGGGGTTCAGAATAATCTTTGATTGTAGGTGAACTATAAATCCCAGCAACTACAACTCTATACTGTCAAGGTCTATTTTCCCCAAACTCCACCAGGGTTCACATTTGGGTATATTGAGTATTCGTGCCAAGTTTGGTCCAGATCCATTATTGTTTGAGTCCACAATGGTCTCTGGATGTAGGTGAACTACAACTCCAAAATTCAAGATCATTGCCCACCAAACACTTGTAGTATTTCCTGTTGGTCATGGGAGTTCTGTGTGCTGTTCTGTGTGCCAAGATCTTGGAGTCTTTGTCGACAACAAGTTGAACATGAGCCAATAGTGTGATTTTGGGCTGCATCAAAAGCAGTATAGTGTCTAGATTGAGGTATGTCATGATGCCTCTTATTCTGCTTTGGTTAGACCTCACCTGGAATATGGAGTCAGTTCTGGACACCACACTTCAAAAGAGATACTGACAAGCTGGAATGTGTCCAGAGGAGGGCAACTCAAATGATGAAATGATGAAAGGTTTAGAGCAGTGTTTCTTAACCTGGGGGTTGGGACCCCTGGAGGGGTCGCAAGGGGGTGTCAGAGGGGGTCACCAAAGACCATCAGAAAACACAGTATTTTCTGTTGGTCATGGGGTATCTGTGTGGGAAGTTTGGGCCAATTCTATGGTTGGTGGGGTTCAAAATGCTCTTTGATTGTAGGTGAACTATAATGTGAACTATAAATCTCAGCAGCAACAACTCCCAAGTGTCAAGTTCTATTTTCCCCAAACTCCACCAGTGTTCACATTTGGGCATATTGAGTATTTGTGCCAATTTTGGTCCAGATCCATCATTGTTTGAGTCCACAGTGCTCTTTGGATGTAGGTGAACTACAACTCCAAAACTCAAGGTCAATGCCCACCAAACCCTTACAGTGTTTTCTGTTGGTCAGGGGAGCTCTGTGTGCCAAGATCAGTTCAATTCCATTGTTAGTGGAGTTCAGAATGCTCTTTGATTGAAGGTGAACTATAAATCCCAGCAACTACAACTCCCAAATGACAAAATCAATCCCCCCAACCTCACCAGTATTCAAATTTGGGCATATTGGGTATTTGTGCCATATTTGGTCCAGTGAATGAAACTGCATCCTGCATATCAGATATTTACATTACAGTTCGTAAAAGTAGCAAAATTACGTTTAGGAAGGAGCAACAAAAATAATTTTATGGTTGGGGGTCACCACAACATGAGGAACTGTATTAAGGGGTCACTGCATTAGGAAGGTTGAGAAAAAGTGCTATAGAATGATGGGAGTTGTAGTTTGGTGAGGTACCCCAAGACTCTTGGGCAAAGAAAGCTCAAGACCTTGTGAAAACTACAGCTCCCAGGATCCCATAGCACGGAGCAGTAGCAGTTAAAAGTGGTGTCAAACCACATTATTTCTAGTGTGCCTGAGTCCACACTCCTACGTTGGTGAAGTGTTTCCTTTCCACGTGGCACGCCTGAGGAAAAAGAGGAGCCTTCCAGAGTATTGCAAGAAGTGAGGGAGGGCATGAGGGAGGGAAGTCTCCCGCCTCACAGGAAAACAGCTTCCCTCCGCCTTCAAGCCACGCGCCCCTCAGCAACGGCTCTTCCCTTTCCACTAACTAACTAAGGTCCGCGCGCGCGACAGACACATTCCCCAATGTCGGCCTTGAAGCCCCGCCCACGCCGCTCCGACTCACCGCCGCCGCCAAAGAGGAAGAATCAAATCAACAAAACAGCTCGCCGCGCGCCGCCGGAAGGTGCGTCGAATGTCCGAACGCAAACTTTAGGGGCGTCACCATTCGCCTCTGGTGGGCGGGGCCATCCCCTCTCCGTTCCCTCGCGGCTCCGAGGAGAGCCGTCATTGGCCCTGCGGAGAACCAATGGCGAACCAGCAGTGAACCTTTTCCAGGGAGGCACACCAAATGCTTTCCGAGACTGCCGCGCATGCTCAGTATTTATTTATTTATCGTGTCATCAGCAACCATTGAATTACAGTTCTAACAGAGCAAAACAAACACACAGATTTTGCAGATTTGGTATTTGGTTAAATGTCCTTTGACCAGTATCTGGCCACTTGGAGTGCCTCTGGGGTTGCCGCAAGAAGGTCCTCCATCGTGCATGTGGCAGGGCTCAGGGTGCATTGCAGCAGGTGGTCAGTGGTTTGTTCTTCTCCGCACTCGCATGGTGCCAGAGCGCAGTCTGTTCAGCGCCTTCCAAGTCGCCCAGTCTTCTGAGTGCCCAGGGGGGAGTCTCTCATCTGGTATCAGCCATTGGTTGAGGTTCTGTGTTTGAGCCTGCCACTTTTGGACTCTCGCTTGCTGAGGTGTTCCAGCGAGTGTCTCTGTAGATCTAAGAAAACTATGTCTTGATTTAAGTCGTTGACGTGCTGGCTGATACCCAAACAGGGGATGAGCTGGAGATGTCTCTGCCTTGGTCCTTTCACTATTGGCTGCTACTTCCTGGCGGATGTCAGGTGGTGCAATACCGGCTAAGCAGTGTAATTTCTCCAGTGGTGTGGGGCACAGACACCCCGTGATAATGCGGCATGTCTCATTAAGAGCCACATCTACTGTTTTAGTGTGGTGAGATGTGTTCCACACTGGGCATGCATACTCAGCAGCAGAGTAGCATAGCGCAAGGGCAGATGTCTTCACTGTGTCTGGTTGTGATCCCCAGGTTGTGCCAGTCAGCTTTCGTATGATGTTGTTTCTAGCGCCCATTTTTTGTTTGATGTTCAGGCAGTGCTTCTTGTAGGTCAGAGAACGGGCCAAAGTGACTCCCAGGTATTTGGGTGTGCTGCAATGCTCCAGTGGGATTCCTTCCCAGGTAATCCTCAGAGCTCGGGATGCTTGTCTGTTCTTAAGGTGAAAGGCACATGTCTGTGTTTTAGATGGATTAGGGATCAGCTGGTTTTCCCTGTAATAGGCAGTAAGAGCACCTAGAGCTCGGAGAGCTTCTGTTCTACCATCTCAAAGCTCCCTGCTTGAGCAGTAATGGCACGATCATCAGCATAGATGAAACTCTCTGTCCCTTCTGGCAGTGGCTGGTCATTTGTGTAGATGTTGAACATGGATGGAGCAAGCACGCTTCCCTGAGGCAGGCTGTTCTTCTGTTTCCGCCATCTGCTTCTCTGGCCCTGGAACTCAACAAAAAAGCTCCTGTTTTGTAGCAGGTTTCCTATGAGGCGGGTGAGGTGGTAGTCCTTTGTGATAGTGTACATTTTTCTCAGGAGGAGGCAGTGGTTCACAGTATCATAGGCTGCTGACAAGTCTATGAAGACAGCTCCTGTGATCTGCTGCCTTTCAAAGCCATCTTCTATGTGCTGAGTCAGGTTCAGCACTTGCGATGTGCAGCTTTTGCCTTTTCTGAAACCAGCTTGCTGTGGGATCAGACAGGGGTCTATATTTTCCATAATTCTATGCAAAATAAGTCTCTCCAGAACTTTGTAGAGGTGGCACAACAGGGAGATTGGTCTGTAGCTTTTTGGGTCATTACGGTCTTTGCCTGGCTTCAAGATGGCGATGACTCTTGCTTTCCTCCAGATTTTGGGGATCTGACAGGATGCAGTGCAGTTGTTCATCAGCTCCAGCAGCCAGCTCCTTGCTTTTGGACCAAAGTTCTTGATTTGTTCCATGATGAGCCCCCACTTGAATGTGGGACTCCACTTCCCAGAAGCCTCAGCCACTGTTTACAATTGTCAGTGGTTCTGGGAGTTGAAGTCCAAACTGCGAGAAGACGCTGCCGCCTCAATCCTGCTCCTGTAGCAGCTGTTGAAGGTCGCAGAAATGTTTGAGAAGATGCAAAAATGTGCGACCATTATTTAAACCGTCCATTGAGAATGAAGATACTGTAGTAAGAACTACTTCTTGTTTATGAAAGTTACCTGCTGTTGGGTTGCTGTGAGTTTTCCGGGCTGTATGGTCAAGTTCCAGAAGCCAACGGGATTTTGGTCTGCATCAATAGTCTAGTGCAGTGGTTCTCAACCTTCCTAATGCTGTGACCCCATAATACAGTCCCTCATATTGTGATGACCCCCAACCATAACATTGTTTTTGTTGCAACTTCATAACATTCATTTTACTACTGTTATAAATCATAATGTAAATATCAGATATGCAAGATGTATTTTCATTCACTGGACCAAACTGGGCACAAATACCTAATGCACCTACATGTAAATGCTAGTGGGGTTGAGGGAGGATTGATTTTGTAATTTGGGAGTTGTAGTTGCTGGGATTTATAGTTCACCTATAATCAAAGAGCATTCTGAACTCCACCAGCGATGGATTTGAACCTAATTTGCCACACAGAACTCCCATGACCAACAGAAAACACTGGAAGGGTTTGGTGGGTATTGACCTTGAGTTTGGGAGTTGTAGTTCACCCATATGAGCACTGTGGACTCATGCAATGGTGGATCTGGACCAAACTTGGCACAAATACTCAATATGTGCAAATGTGAACACTGGTGGAGTTTGAGGAAAATAGACTTGACATTTGGGAGTTATAGTTGCTGGGATTTATAGTTCATTACAATCAAAGAACATTCTGAACTCCACCAACGATAAAATTGGCTCAAACTTCCTATATGGAATCCCCATGACCATCAGAAAATACTGTGTTTTCTGATGGTCTTTGGTGACCCCTCTGACACCCCTTCGTGACCCCCTCAGGGGTCCCGACCCCCAGGTTGAGAAACACTGGTCTAGTGCAAAGGTTCTCAACCTGGGGTCCCCAGATGTTTTTGGCCTTCAACTCCCAGAAATCTTAACAGCTGGTAAACTGGCTGGGATTTCTGGGAGATGTAGGCCAAAAACATCTGGGGACCCCAGGTTGAGAACCACTGGTCTAGTGTCTAGATCCAGGGAAGTCATGCTCCCTCTCTATTCTGCCTTGGTTAGACCACATCTGGAATATTGTGTCCAATTCTGGGGCACCACAATTGAAGGGAGATGTTGACAAGCTGGAATGTGTCCAGAGGAGGGTGACTAAAATGATCAAGGGTCTGGAGAACAAGCCCTATGAGGAGCAGCTTAAAGAGCTGGGCATGTTAAGCATTCAGAAGAGAAGGCCGAGAGGAGACATGATGGCCATGTATAAATATGTGAGAGGAAGCCACAGGGAGGAGGGAGCAAGCTTGTTTTCTGCTTCCCTGGAGACTAGGACAAGGAACAATGGCTTCAAACTACAAGAAAGGAGATTCCATCTGAACATTAGGAAGAACTTCCTGACTGTGAGAGCCGTTCAGCAGTGGAACTCTCTGCCCCGGAGTGTGGTGGAGGCTCCTTCTTTGTAGGCTTTTAAGCAGAGGCTGGATGGCCATCTGTCGGGGGTGATTTGAATGCAATATTCCTTCTTGGCAGGGGGTTGGACTGGATGGCCCATGAGGTCTCTTCCAACTCTATGATTCATTCTCTCCTGATGAATCATAGCCTGCGGGCTGATATTGGCGGGATATAAGTGATGTAAGTGATGATGTTTTGCCCACATCTATGGCAGGCATCCTCAGTTGTGAGGTCTGTTGGAAACTAGGCATTCAATGCTAATTACGGTGGCCAATTGCAACATTCCCATTTGCCTCAGGCCGACTAGAGTTCTTTCTCCCTCCCTGGACCTTCCACAGATAGATAAATCTCACTTGCCTAGTTTCCAACAGACCTCTGAGGATGCTTGCCATAGGTGGAGGCGAAACGTCAGGAGAGAATGCTTCTGGAACATGGCCAGACAGCCCGGAAAACTCACAGCAATCCAGTGATTCCGGCCATGAAAGCCTTCGATAACTCATTGAACTGTTGTTTTTCGTTTCACCACAAGATGACGCCATTAATGTATTTTGGAAGTTTTAGGCACTTTACAACATGCCCACATACTGCTAACAGACTTTTTGTTATTCTCTTCCAGGAGATATGGGACTGCACACAAACCCTCTTGGTCCCCTTCCACACTGTCCCTATATCCCAGGATCCGTTCCCAGATTATCTGCTTTACACTGGATTATATGAGTCTCCACTGCCAGAAAACCTGGGATAAGCAGATAATCTGGGATCAGATCCTGGGATATAAGGACAATGGGTCCTTCCACACAGCCATATAACCCAGAATATCAGGGCAGATAATCCACAGTATCTACTTTGAACTGGATTATCTGAGTCCACAGTGCCATATAATCCAGTTCAATGTTATACAGCTGTGTGGAAGAGCCCTTTGATGTCAGTCATCAGGCAACCTGTTTTAATTCCTCTTATATTGGTATATAAAGGATACAAAAGAGACATGACAATTTGACATCTGCTCACACCATTAAGGCACTAACCAACACCTCCACTTGCAAAAACAATGTCCAAATAGATTTGTGTAATTATTGGTTATATCTGAGACCCCCCCCCCCCCGGGAGGCGGGGTTGAGAAGGGCAGGGTAGAAATGTTGTAAATAAATAAATAGATAAACAAATAAATCCATTGAGCAAATAATAGTAAATTTAAATGATGGAACCCTCGAGCATGTTTATAAATTCCATAAATTAAAAATAATTCAAATCTTCCTGTGGACAAATTGTGCTCTTTGGTGAGTTCAGCTCCAGTCCTGGGCTCCTTAAACTTTTCTACTCGTGACCCCTTTTTGGCCTGATAATGTTTACATAACCCCAGGTATATAGGTATATAAAATAATTAAAAAATCAACAATTAACTGATAACAAATCAGCTTTAAACAAACTGTTTTTCCTTTTTTATTAAATAAATATTCTTCTGCAGAGTCCATTGTAAACAATGCATAATAGATTAGTGCAAATGTCCAAAACAGCCACTAGA